GCTATAGAATCCAGTCTGTCCTGCTATTTACCCATAGCCGGGGGGAGAAGAGGATTCATACCTTTCCCAAGGGTATTTGCATGTAAGTGAATGTAATGGATTCAACTGGAATTTGAACTCTGATTCCTCAATTCGAGCCGCCATCCATTTCCTTTACTGTTATAAGCTTTAGTTCTAGATATAATTTCCCAGTTGATTGATGAAATGCCATCATTCTTAACTTCCAGAGATATTTGGAGAGAGAACAAAGCTGTTTTTGTATTTTAAAATACCTAAGGCCGGTGATGAACAACTGCTGTTACCATCAGTTCTTCATGTGGGTGAGAATTAAGGCTAAACACAAAAGCCAGAGCTTATCATTACTGAGAGGCTCTGTCAGAGATTCACTTCTGCATTAGGAGTGACACAATCCCAACAGTTAAAGAGAAGCCAGTGAAGAGTCTGTATAAAGTTCCAATGACCGATTAGCACTGCGGTAAAGAGATGCCAAAAGTGGCAATAGATGGACTTGTATCCATTGACAGAACCCATCTCCATGGCAAACTGAAGGCTTGGTACTACCAGCATGGTTTTCTGCCCCATCTTCTGTGGCCATTGAAGCTATATGATATTATTGTCTTACATTCAGCAGATGCAGCAATGTATCAAGTGCCCGTGAAAGATTCTATACCAAAGCTGGAAACCTACAAATTCCCATCTCTTCATTGGTGGAGGAATTCAAGGTTCAGAAGGTATGCCTTCACATGATGATGAGGGACTTGACCAATGAGTTCATCTGTAGGTTACAGCCAGATATCAAAACTGGCACCAAATGGTCGGCAGTGGAAGGCTTTCAAGAAGCAGAATCCAGCATGTGAACCAATAGTTGGGGATTACCCAAACCAATCAAGCTTACCTGGGCAACACAAGCAACCAGTTTTTCTCCTAAACAGGGTCCAAAGAAAAAATGAGATATGGTGATTGAAAGAATAAGGAATTTTCAAGGAAGAGCAGTGAACAGCTACTGCAGTTTCTCAGTCCAAACAATGTGCTTAGATTACATGGAGGGATATTGATCTGAGGAAGCTATCATGGAATACACCAGTTGCAATGGAGCCATTGATGATATAATTCCTCCTGTGATTTACCTATGATCTAAATATGACCAATCTCAAGCTGTGGAGGTACACTGACAATGATGTATGCACATTTTGTGAAAGTGATCAAGGCACTTTGTCACATCCTCTGCATGCATGCAATCACTGCAGATGTACATGGGGCCTCATAACAAAGTGCTGGAAGTCGTCATGGACTTAGGGCACAATGTGAAGCAGCTAACAGCCTGTAATGGCCAGAGAACCTAAGGAAGGTGAATGCCCTGTGCTGAAGATGACACTCATGAGTGGACCCCATGATTGAAGTGTGTTAGTTGATCTTAGAACACCTCTGCAATTTCTGGTATACATCATTTAAACATACGCTCTGACATTGCAGCATGGTCTAATTTAAAGAAGTGTGTCCTCCTAGTAGAATTAACAGTTCCATGGGAGGAGAACAGGGAGGTGGTGCATGAGTGAAAGAGAAACCCACTGCAATCTGATGGCTTGGAAAAGGGATGGACATGTTATTTGCTACTTATTGAGGCCGAGTGTCATGGATTGCTTGGATGGTCAAATGTTTCCTTCCTTTTGTAGGTTGGCATCACTGGCCAGAGCCTGAAACGTGCTTCACATCATCTCCAGACCACAGTTCAGTCATCAAGTTGAATCTGGTCTAGATGCAAAATAAACAAAGTTAATTAAAACCATGCTCACAACACAATGCTACTTTCGACATAACTGTCTTTATGAGCGTGTTGTGTATTGGTTAACAATAAAAGGCAAAGGCTTTTAACAGAATGTTGAAAATTTGACTTGAAGTTGTAAAAAAAAATTGCAAGAGACTGACACATATACACAAACAATACCTTATCCAGGGGCTAAAGCTGCTGGTGGCACCAGGGGTGGCAGTACCACCTTAGCTATGTTCCCTCATTGGCAAGGACAGGATATTGCATGTGCTTTCACATGTCGTATGTAAGAACAAAATAGTGTATGTGTATATATATATATATATATATATATATATATATATATATATATATATATGTATGCATGTATGTTGATACGATGTTAACCCTTACGCCTCTTATTGAAATAATTGCTTCAGCCGTTTCCATAGTAATTAATATTACGAATGAATATGTTTATAAAGCTGTGTAAATTTCACAATTAGTTATTCTCAAAATTTCGCTTAAAGATGAAACAGAGCTTGATACTTCAATTTAATTTTTATAATTAAATTAAATTTTTTAGCTCCTGTTTTTGAAATATGAGAACTCTTATGTAGCGATGGAATCATATTTTTAAAAAATAATTATAATATATATATTTTAATATGAAAAGTAAATAAAGGTCAAATTTCATTTTGGAGGGAGAAGTAGGTGGCATAATAGTTAACAAAATAAATGGAAAATTCAAAATCGCTGAACCAAGTTCAAATTCTAGCTAAGACAATTTATATTCACTTCCCACAAATGCTTTTGGGAAAAGTTCAAATCCTCTACTATAGACAGTGTAGAATTCACTGGTAACCAGTTTAAAAGAAGCAAAATGGATGTGGAATCCAGTCTTCCTCTTAGCTTTGGGTAAAAATAACTGAATGTAAAGTGCTATCCCACTCATAAAACTTGTACTCTATTACTTCTTGAAATTTTGACCTATTTTCATAATTATATGGAATGAAGATGAAAATAAACACCAAAACAGTCAATCACACATCCTTCCAGTTAATAAATTAATCCTTTGAAAATAAATATTTAACAGTTTTCAACCAAACAGCCATGTTCCCGCTGACAAAAAAAGGTTCATGATCCTTTTGAAGAGTATAGAAGCAAAGTTCCTAGACCAGACAAGCTAATAAGGAGAGAGAGATGGATACATGTGACATCAAGTCATGATGGCTGCTTTAAAAAGATTCCTTAACTCATTCACCAAGCTATGTAATTCCCTCTTAAAATGCAAAAAGCAAAGATAAGAAAAAAGCATGCAAATTATAGACAAAATTATTTCATCTTGCTTTTTTTTCATTTTATTTGACTCCAAGCATTTCCTGAAGTTTCTTCTGGACAATTCTTCTTGTAATTTATTCCATTTTTATTTGTCAAAAGAATCCACATATCATTTGTAGCTGAGAGCATATTTAAGGAACCTGGAACGTTTATCCAAAAGACACTCACAAGAGACACGCACTTTCTGATCATAAATTTCCCAATTTCCTGTCCAAAATTGGTGGCCATTTTGATCTGCCAATAAGCAATGGCTGCCGTGAATATTTCGGAGAGCAGTTATCTTCATATATCTCTGAAAACACTTGCCTTGTTCTGAAGAAAAAGAAACAAAAACATATATATACAGGTTGTAAAAGATAAATTATCATATTAATTATGCAAAAATGAAAATAACACTGACATCTCATTTTAACAGAAATATTTACCAAAATTATACAAAAATATCTTGACACACTAAAGAGTAAATTTATTCAATTCAACCAGTACAGCATGCCATTTCCAAATTTCCGGCAGAATGAATTGTATCATGGCGCTCTTTTTCTACTATACTGTACAGTTGAAAAATCGAAAACAAACAATGCACATGCGTGAAATTAAAAATATAAAATGTTGACAATTTACCTATTGCACTCTATATATATATATATATATATATATAGAGAGAGAGATAGAAAGAAAGAGAGTGGGTTTTTACACAATACAAATCACCTATCTCTGACTTTTATATATATGATAGTTTTTAAAAGGGTACTCACTCTGGAAACAAGCCACATTGGTTTGTTCACAGATCACTTCGTCAATATATGGTGGGATGTGGCCTAAGGGCAACTTTGTCCTAACTCGGCAAAATGGACACAGAATCACGTGACTGTCATAAATGGTTCCACTGGGGGAACATTTCCTGATTTTATCTGAAAAAAAATCAATAAAAATGAAATGAAGCCATGAACAGAAATATCACTATCTTAGCATGTTCATATCTATCTTAGGCCTGTCAAGATCTATCTCTCTATCTAAATCTGTTTCTTAACTATGTATGTTCATATCTATCTAAATCAGCTTATATCTATGTATCTGAATTTGTTCCTATCTCTCTATCTCAATCTGTTTATATCTATCTTCTTTTTTTTAATCATTTCACTCCAAGCAAAGCAATAAAGCCACTAAGACCCAAGGTGTTACTGAGTGTTAGAGAATATGAGAGAAAAAAAAACACTGTTCAGGAGAGAGGACAATAAAAGAAAAGGAATTAAGAAGACAGAAGATAATGATTGACATTGCATTTAAATTTTTGAACACCAAACTTGACTGGAAAGTGAAAATCTGAAAGAGAGTTCTACAAATGAGAAGTGTAACAGAAAAAACTTTTAGTATAGAACTTACGGGTACATCTAGCAGCCAATTCAACTGTTAAATGCTACGACCTTGCCGCCAATCAAGTACTGTGCTTAAATTCATGAAGTCTAGATACGATAGAGGAAAATTCATCAGAACAATTACAATGAAAATAATTATAGAAAAGGCACGAGGAAACTACATTACAGCAGTGGGAATGTGACTGAAGCTGAGATGTCGGGTCCAATAACATTGCAAATTCTTTGGATTTTACCAAGAATCCAAGAAAGAATTTGCAGTAGATCAGCAATGTAACAGTGGTGAGAAATGACTGAAGCTGAGATCTCAGGACCAGTAACATGACAGATTTTTCTCTGCATTCTCTCAAGAATCTCTAAATATATAGCAGGAGAACTGGACCAGATGAGGCAGCAGTATTCAAAGCAAGCATAAATAAATATGTCAGATAGATTATGGTGAGAAAGATTGTCTAGCACAGCATGGGGAACCAGCTTTCCTAACAGCATACCTATCAATTGATTTGATCTAATCTTTCCACTTTATGCTGGCGGAAAATGTTAGCATAAATTAGCATCAGCCATGTCGATGGAAGCTGAGTTTTTTCAGACGATTAAAAAAAACATTTATCTCTGAGATGAGGTTTATGATTACTTGCATTATTTAGATTATTTGACTGTTAAATCTTCGTTGCCATAATAAAAAGTGGATAAAGACAGTTGCTTGGATCCAGTGACTAGACCCAAAGAGTTGAATACCAGGCCAAAGTGGTGAACTTAAAACTTGGAGAGTTGAGTTAAAGGAAATAACTGATCTGAAAGAGGTAGGAACATTTTCTACCCTTGAAATAAAAAAATCACCAGAAGAAGGCCAGATGTCATGGCTAGCCATGAAGATGAGGATAACAGTCTGAATAATTTAAAAGAGATCAGTTTCCTTTTGGTGGCGTTAAAATTAACAAGCCATTCCTTTCAGAAAGTTCCTTTTTTGAGATCAATTTCTAATTTGACTCAGACTGACAGGGAATATGTTCATAGATCTTATTGTTGATGAAAATTAGGGATGTTCATTGAAGCTAGAGCCCTAAATAATTAATTGAAAAAGATCTATATATTTAAGACAAATTTCATTTTTTGATTTGATAAGAAAGACTGAATCAGTTCAATTTGTCCAGAATTTTTTTTCTACTGGTATCACCCGATGCAAAGCAGTACAGACACTAGCACGCAAATGGTTTCAGAAAAACATTAGTTTAGGCAGACAATAGATAGTCTATCTTTAAATTTTTAAAGTTGGTTGAAAAGCATGGGCTGAGAGGGGGTTCCACAAGTGAGAAGTGCAGGATAAGAAACTGTTAGCATAGAAGTTAAACTATCTAGCTGGCTCAATTTTAAATTGTGAGATATCACCACCAGTCTAGCAAGACCAAACAAAGAGTTCGGCCCAAAAATTACCATGAAAAAGTTTCAAAAAAGAAGCAACCTTCTGGTGGTGGGAAGTGACTGAAGCCGAGCCACGAGATCAGGCCCAATAATATCACAAGATAGATTCTGGAGAGAAAAATTGTCTTGCCTGACACAGTCAACCGACTTTCTTGGCTTCTGATCTAGCAATGGATTCAATATAGTCTTTCCATTTCATGTCAGAAGAACATTAGCCTTAGAAGCTTCAGTCACTTTAGGATAGCATCAGCCATGTTGATGATGGAAGGTAGAGAGGGGCCTCAGATGATTAATAATGAGCAGTTTAGTTTGGATACATTAAAATGGACAAGCCATATTTTCCTCCAGTTAACAATGGTCTTAAGATCATTTTGTATAATGACTATTTAACCTTTTTTTGACTGATCAGCTTTTGCCATCGAGACAGGAGTAAAATAGATGAGAGCCAAAATGAAGATTAAAAATAGTGTAGAACCAAGGATGGAGCCCTTTGAGGATGTAGACGTTCAGGACAATTTTTTTTATTTGATAGGAATGACAGGTCAAAAACTTGTGAAGAAGAGTTCACCAAAACCCTGTCAAATGCCTTTGACTATCCAAAGCAAAACCCTGAACTTCTTATCTAAAAACTTTAGACTCTTTCAGCAATTAATAGATCAGCAATCATTAATCTGAAAGAAGAAATTCAGAGTTGATTAAAGAACTTTTCTTTATGGGACTTTTAGGTTCAGGAATGAAAAAGGATTTCCAACAAGCAGAATATGATGTGAGACACTTATTTTTTGATTTTTTTTTTAAAGACTTTGAAGGATTCAAGTCTATATGTTTCGAGGGGATCTTTTAGATATGTTTGCAGAAACCTTGGACAGAAAAAATGTTATAAAGGAAAAAAAAGAAAATAGGAAAACTATAGTTTTATTTTTTCTTTTTTAAGGCAAAAATTTTTTTGAAACATCTATAAACAACAAACAAAAGTTGTCAGAACTCAAGAATTTAGAAAATTATTGTATTTCATGAGGTCAACTTAAAATTATGTCAATTACTTTATGTTTGAAAGAATATTTTCAATGTAAAATATTGTTTTGTATTGTTGTTTGATGGATTCAACCATTTTTTTTTTTATTTCTGATATATTTGTTAAAATGTTGTCTTGGGAGAGTAGTGATTCTTTGGGAATGGTGACATTGGGAAAAAACCTTTAGATTAATATTCAGATAATATTTCAATAACTGAAGTTTTTTTCTGAGGGAATTATTTTCTTTTTTTATGAGTGTAGGATTTATAAAAGTTCAGAATTTGGTGAATTTATTTATGTATGACCAAAGTTCATTTGTCAAATTGTTATTCATTATCATAAATATTTTCATCTATGAGCACAAAAGAGACCTCATAAATAAATATTTAACAAAAGAAACAAGACAAAAATTGTCTGGAGGAGTGAACCGGACAATAATAAGAGATAGATAAAATCAGAATCAGTTCAAAATCTGTGCTTTTAGATTTTTTTTTTATAAAAAAATAAATTAGGAATATGATGTTTTTGTTTTTTTTTTATTTATTAGGAATGTGATTTCTATTAGATTCAAATTCTTGCATTTATTTTACTGGTTGTAGACATTATTTTGGTTTCCTAAGTAAATAAAGTATATATTTTCTTTGCATCATAATGTTTTACCAGTTAATTTTTCTGTTGACTTAGTCTTTTAGTCTAACTGACGGTACAGCTTTGTGTATGTAAAAATAAAAATTATGATCCACAAAACGACAATAGAAATTTCAAAAGGAAGAATGAAAATAAAAGAAAAATAATTAAAAATATTTAAATTTAAAAAAACATGTGGTTCTAGTTCACAGCTTTCAATAATAATATCCCACCTCAATAACCCTCATGGAAAAGAAATTGGAAAAACGTCCCACTAGAGGGTCAATATGGGCCTTGCAGACATACCGTCACAACCCAGGTGGGTCATATAAGAGCCAACGTGTTAAAATTGTTTAAGTTATTGGCATTCCTCTGATGAGTTCTTATTTTAAACACCTTTCACAGATTATTTTATGGTCAGTCTTTAGGTCAGATGAACAACTTGGCTATTCTAACACCCTTATCTTATTTGCTTTTAAGGCTCTTTTTTTTTTTCATTGCAATATGTTTTTATGATTGTTCTGTTTCCATCCGAGTAACACCTTTCCTTTGATTGGGCAAAGGTAACCATGAAATTTTAATAAAGAATAAACATTTTATAAGTAAAAAATACCAGCCATTTCATAGTAAAAATTACCAGCTAAGTTTCTAAAAAAAAAAAAAAACTTTTTTTAAAAAAATTAAAAAACATTTCTTTAAATAGAAATTAATGCTAAAATTTGTTTTCAGCATTAAATGACTTATTTGATATGCTATTGTTTTGCAAGCTGAACCAGTTTCCCAATGCATAGCACTGATCACTGTTCTGTCAATGATTTAGAGTATCCGGTGTTTAACTATGTTCAACTCAATTTTTATGTTTACAGATGCATTAGAAAATATGTTTTACAATAATTTTTTAAAAAAAAAATTTAATGCTGACCATGTGAATGCATGTATGTTTTATGGGTGTGGGTTATTCTTTTTGTGACCATGGGAACCTGGATTTTACTATGGTCAATTTCTCAGAAAGGAGACTTCCTGATGTTACCAGGCTGGAGCAGGGACAATTCCAGTGTGCAGCACCTTTGGAAAGTGCCTGAAAATCATAAGGGTTGACCCAAGCCTTGTTTGTGAAATTGGGTAAATGGAGCACTTGGGGCCATTGATAGCTGTGCTAGCACAAAGTCGCAATTTATCATGACCGAGGGTTTGAGTGTGCTGGTGTTGTTCAGATTGTTGATTGTTCTAGATAACATGCTCTCTCCCAGAAACTGTAACTAAGGTCTGCTCAGCATAGTTGTAGTATAAACCACAAGTTGGCTCTGTGGGTGTTGGACAAACACAAATGTGCCTGAGCAAGAGGGATTGGCTAGCCACACCCTAGTAGACAGGTATCCTCAAATACAAGTGGCCAGCTATTATTATATGAATTTATTTATATATGTATCTGATAGATTCTTGTTATCCTTTGGATATCTCACATGCCAGTCATGTTGGTCCTTGAAAAAGCCAATGGCCTCGATGTCGAAGTACACGGTCATCACCATGGATTTATTGGGCAGGCCAAGTCATTCAGTGTGACGATACTAGAATACCAAAACAAATGCTCTATGACAAGATGCTTTACAGCACTCAATCCCAGCACAAACCGAGGAAGTGCTTCAAAAAGAGCCTCTTGCAGCCTGACATCTTGTAGAAGATCCTGACTGGAGCAATGGCTGCTTGTGATCAAAATATAATTCATAAAGGTACTAAGATTTTCCAAGATCATTCAACGAGTTGGGCAAATGTCAAGTGTGCTGCTAGGAAGGGGGAAATCATTGATCCAGCAATCCATCAATTTACATAGGATGAATGCAGCAGAGTATGTCTCCAGTGAATGTCTTGTTCACCACAACAAGAGAGTCATATTGGTAGATCTTTCACAAGTTACGATCAGTACTATTCTAGAAATAACATAACATAAAATGTGTGTCAGAAAACCTATAGAAAACACTCCAGTCTCACCTTTCACATGAAAACCCGTGGTCAAGCTGAAAAGACTTTACAAAACTGGCCAGGCCCTGTACAAAACAACTTAGTTTGACACACACCTGTAATAAGCATTGTAAGTTACTTGCTAGCTTTGGTTTGGTTTGTTTTACGGCATATCAACCTCAATGGGTCATTTAATGCCGACAACTTTTTTTTTCTGGTAATATTTTTGTTTTGTCAAAAATCTATTTCTGGTAATATTTTTTTCCTCAAAAATGTATAGCTGGTAATATTATTTTAAAAAGTGTATTGCTGGTAATATATTTCTTTTTTTCAAAAATAATAGTAATAGTTTTTTCTTCAAAAATTTATTTCTGGTAATAACTTTTTTACAAAGTATTTCTGGTATTAAAACCTATTTTTACACTTTTATAATGCTTTTTACCTCAGTTTCAGGGTTAACTATTTGCCCATAGCTGGGACAATAACAGGTGCTACCACCCCGGGTCAGGGCGGACCTGGGAACACCAGCAATTAATAGGTGGTTCCATGTTCCTTATAACCTCCTGATCAGAGGCCTTGCTGTTGGACGTAGTTTATTGTCTTACCCTGGACGTGGATGAAGTTTATCATCATACTCAGGACGATTGCTAGCTTTGAGAACTATAGCTGCTCTCAAGAGAACCTAAATCATCAATGACACTTGTCAGTGATGGTCATACTCATTTAATGAGACAACATCCACAGTCTATCTATGTTATAGTTTTCTCCTAAAACAACAGTTCTTCAGTATCTCTACAACCACCAAAGTTAAGCAATGTCGGACCTGGTCAGACTGGTGACTGCTTGGGAATACCAGATGCTGTTAGCTTGGATGTGCAGGTGGTGTAATGGGTAATGACTTGGAATTGTTAATCAGAGAGCCAAGTTCCAATCTCTGTTGTGTTTGTTATATTCACTTATGCATAAAATACTATTCCGAAAGGTATTAATCTACTTCTACTCATAATACAGCTATAAGTTAATTAGTAAGTGTTATGGTCCAATATCCTCGCACCACAGTTACCACAAAGACATATTACAACAGAAATATAGTACAAGAAGCTGAAGTTGTTAGTAATGTCTGTATGGTTTAGAGTGAACTAATATTGTCTCGACTCGTTACACCATTCATTCATTATACCTCTTGAGAGGCGCAGTATTTATAGTGTCAGGAAGAGTCCATTATTGTTATAGGTAAGTCCCCATAACAGTAAGACATTAGTATCATTAAACCAGTGGTTCTCAAAACTAGTGTGCCGAGCGATACTCTTACTTGTGCCACAAAATATTGTCACAGCATACATATATATGTCTATATTTCTGAGATGAGGTATTATGTACATTATTTACATTATTCGGACTATTGTCCTCATCTTTGTCGCAATATTTATTACAATGTTTCGGCCCTTCAGTATCTGTCTATATTTCTGAGATGAGGTATTATTTACATTATTTGGACTATTGTCCTCATCTTTATCACTATATTTATTACAATGTTTCGGCCCTTCAGTATCTGTCTATATTTCTGAGATGAGGTATTATGTACAGTATTTACATTATTCGGACTATTGTCTTCATCTTTGTTGCCATATTTATTACAACGTTTCGGCCCTTCAGTATCTGTCTATATTTCTGAGATGAGGTATTATGTACACTATTTACATTATTCGGACTATTGTCCTCATCTTTGTCACCATATTTATTATGACATTTCAGCCCTTCAGTATTTGTCTATATTTCTGAGATGAGGTATTATGTATACTGTTTACATTATTTGGTGTGCCATTGCTTAAAAAAGATAGAGAAACATGGTCATAGTTTGTTAATAAAAAGCAAAAAGAGTGTAAAACTGAGGAGAGACCCTTGGGAGATTTTGATTGATTGGTCAGTTTTCTACAGCTTATCAACACATTGCAGATTATTTAAAGCCAGGTCTGGAATGAACTTGAAACTGAAAGCCTTATTGAGAGTGCAAACATTTATTGTGACTTGAGAAAACTCAGGATGTGACCAGTGATGATGAAACAATATAAGTTTGGTTTTTGAGTTATTAAAAGTTACAGGCTAGTTTTTGTTTTCCCAATTGAGTTGTTTAAACTCAGTTAGAGGAAAAATTATCTGCAAGGTTCAAGTCATCTTGGTTTTGGAGGTACATCAATAAACTGTAGAAATGCTCATAGACCAGTAATTCTCGACCACCAAGAAATATTGTCACAATATATATGTGTGTGTGTGTAGAAGTAGTAATGTTATAGCATTAGTATTTGAATAAGTATTAAACTTCTTTTTTTCAAATAATTCTTTTCACTATTCTTGATACATTTTGGATTTCAATACAAAAGGAATATCCCATATTAACTAAAAAGGCTTTGTTAGTTTTATTGCAATTTTCTACTGATTAATGTGAATTAGGCGTCTCAACTCTAAATAACAATAAAAATAACAAGCAAGAAAGACTACACTCAACTGAAGAAAAAATGATGGTCTGCTTATTGCACATTTGACCAAACATTGAAAAAAACTTGAAAAAACCTTCATTCATCATGTGAGCTCTGGCCATTTATAGTGACTTTTATAGGCCTATTTGATATATTGATCTGTTTTCTACAGTTTATCAACACATTACAGGTTATTTAAAGCTAGAAAATATTTGCTTTTATTGTTTTTATATTTTATTGTAAAGTCCAATCTTTTTGACAAATTGCAGTATGTTATCTTGTTTAATGTTTTCAAAAAGTTCTCTAAGATTGTTTGTTCTGTAATACTTGTTTGGGATTTCCCAGAACTGGTAACATTCCAACAATATGTGCCTAACCGTATTCGACTCCTGACATGGTACCTATTAGTTTTATTGCAATTTTCTACTGATTAATGTGAATTAGGCGTCTCAACTCTAAATAACAATAAAAATAACAAGCAAGAAAGACTACACTCAACTGAAGAAGAAATGAAGGTCTGTTTATTGTACATTCAACCAAACATTGAAGAAATCTTGAAATAACACCAGGCACCAGTTTCACACTAAATAAACTGCACAAATAGTTGAATAGAAACTTTGAAATAAAGTAAGTTCATATTTGTGTGTGTATTTTTTTTAAAATTTAAGATTTTATTTCATAAAATTTAAATGCATACACTTTAAAAATTTTGCTAGGTGTGTAGTGTTATTTTCATTTGCCTCAGTGTACTGTTGCTTAAAAAGGTTGAGAAAGATTGTACTAAAACATTATTATCTGAAAAAAATAATGCCTACAATCTAAAAATCTTTTCTAGTTTTAAAAAATATATAAAAGGGTTGATAAACCATAGAAAATGAACAAATCATATTAATCTTTAGTAACTCTGTTCATCTCTGTATGGAATTGGGTATCAGTTCATCTCCGAGCAGGCTTTGTAACCACTGCTTTCTCCTAGTGTGTTCCTATTCCTCACAATCAAAGGTTGGTCTCATGTCTGAGCCCCTACTGAACCATGATGTTTCTGACCCAAGGAGAAGTTCTGCTATGCTAGTTTGGTAACACTGTATTCAGAAACCCTTTAAGAGGCTCTTGAGCCTTATATTAAATGAATGCTAGTAAAAATGAAAACCAGTGGGGGAAAAAACACAAAAAAAACATTTATAAATAAATGATAAATAAAACAAAATTGTACTCAATGTTTCTTCATCAGGAAAATCTGATATTGCAGACAATTGTGAAAACAAAGCCCAGAAAATCCTCATTGGTAGTTTATCCCCATTGGTAAGAGCTTCTACCAGGGTTGGTCTTCTGTTTCCATACTTATATTTTGAAGGTTTTTCTAATTTAGCTTCATCAACTTTCTGAAAAAACAAAAAAAAAAACAAAACCAAAAAAACAAAGTAAGAAACATCCAATTATAATTGTGCTTGTCTTACCCTTCATTAGTTTATACGCTCATTATGTCGGAGTTAGCTCCTCCTTAATTCCCCAATTATTCACTAGGGGTCTCTCTCCCCACACTATAAATACTGGGCAACTTCTTGCCTCGTCCTCTTTTCCATTTCTTCTATTACTAACATGATTTTGTTTAGTTGCATGTAAATAATTTATAACCATATTCTATATAATCATTGGGGATTTTTTAACTTGTTTTTATTCCCCTCTCCCCACAGACAATGATTTGTACATATGGAGACTATTTAGGATTTTCATTGAGACAATGAGGTGAATGTGTTGTTTTGGTGGTAGGAATATTTGTTGTTTGATTGGATCAGTGGTTGTGGCTAGCTAAATTTAAAAATTAAAACAGATGATGACTGTTCTTTTCCACCACCCACCTTTTTAGGCCTTGTGCCACATTTTCTGTATTTTACAGAAATAAATATTCTTTTTCATTTCTTCATTTCAGTGAACAGATCCACAATGTAAGCTCTCTTAGAAGATAACATCTCCCCACTTGTGGGAAGACGTCATGAACATTATACACGTACATACGAACATTCACCAAAGAACAAACACAAATGTTCACACACACACACACACACACACACACACACACACACACACACACACACACACACACACACACACAAATATTAATGTCTATGTCTATTGTAAAATTGTGTTGTTTAATACATATATTTGTTGATATATATACATTGGTCTTCTTTGTTTGTCTTCTTTACATCTTCAGTTGGACTTAACTAGTGACGATCATCATCATCACACACATACTTATGCAAATTCAAATTATACAACCACAAGCATTCATTGGATAATAAATCAACACTACTGTGTAATGCGATTTTATAATCGCTATATTTTCATGTAGTCGATTTCGTGTACTTTTGGGAGAATCAGATCTCAGAAGCTTTTTGTGAATCTTCCCAAAGCTCACTCGCTGATTGGTCAATGCCAACCAATCAGATTGTCTGCATGTGAAGAATAATTCTTCCCACGCAGCGCTTTCGGAGCCGATGATCACCTATATAAGCAAAGAAAATTAGTAAACCAGTGAGATCTCAGCTGCCACAGAGATCCACGGCAGTTGAAACCATGCATCAATCTTCTCACTCACACCACCACTGACATGCTAAATATTCCCTATACTCACATAAACTTTTTTCTTACACAGTAAAACTGTTGAAAACATTTATTACCAGAAACTATTACAACCTTATTGCTTTCAGTGAACTTTGGAACAAAAATAATAGTTAAAGAGAGACAACTCTTGTTTTACCCAATGCATGCTTTTCTTTCACATCCTGGTTTGTACATCTTGTTAAATTCAAATTTTATGTGTAATAATGATGTCTTTGGCTTATCCTCTTTTTCTTCATGTCAGTTTGGTTTCCTAATCTAAGTTAAATAAATGTGGTGAAGTCCGCCACAAGTTTCCATTGCTTGTAGTTGAATATTCGTAGTTTGAAAAGTTTCATATGTTTGTAATGTAGTTTGGAAGATTTCGTACGTATGTGTATGTGTGCATGTGTGAATATGTTTTCATAGCATCTGACCACACGTGGTCAAGACGTGAATCCTTTTTTACAACTAAATTTGGTAGCGAGAGAAATCAAGGAAGAGAGAGAGAGAACGAACTTATGTCTGGTATTTATAATTAATTTAATCACGTGGTAGGATCAAAAAGGCATTGACAGATTTTGGCGGAATTATTTTTTTGTCAGGTCAAGAACTAGGTCGATGTTATTCAGCATGATTTAAATATTAAATGACCAATCAGAAGCTGAGATTTTCTGAAAATATATATGAAGCTGAGTAAGCTCTGTGATCCACTTTTTTTGCACAAAATTTGAGATTGGTAAAAAAGTGGTAGCAGGATGCTAAACTACCAATATGATCACTAAAAAATGAAAATGAATGAATTTTAACCACTCCAGAATTTTTTTTTTTTTACCTGTATATATAATGCAACTGGTTTGTGAAAATAAATGATTTCTGATCTCTTAAAAAAAAATTACCTGTATCTATTGCGACACCCTATTTTCACGCAAAAATCTGCTAAAACCTTGCAATATATTCACATATATACGGTAGGCAGTGACTAAACTCTCTTCCAGGTTGTCTCAATAATTAAGGAAGTACTGTATTTTTCTTTGTTTTTTAAATGACGTCTGTGGTGATCCAAAAACTACTTGTTTAAACATGGGAGAACCTAAGCCTGATGTAAAGACATTTTTTTATATGATTACTTTACTATTTTATTTTTGAATATTAATTCTTATTAAATTTAAAATTTTCTAAATTTAAAATTTTCTTAATTTCAGGAAACTGACATTGAAGAATCTTATATGTCAGTTTCTTAAAAATTTGTCTGAAGAGTAAAAAAATACAAAAAAAAAACAATTAACAAATTCGCAGACGATTTTAAATATATATATTGGCAAAATATATAATTTCTATCTAGTGCTATACAGAGATAAAGGGGGAAAAAATCAGAAATAGGAATTTTTTTTGCAAAGAATATTTTCTTTACGAAAGAAAAAAATTTAATTTACATGTACGACTTGTCAAATATATTACAAGGGAGGTAACTCCATTTGGTTTTTATGTACGCATTTATTGAGAGAAACGACATATGGCCTTGATGGGAAGATATTAAGCTGCTTATAATGCATTTTATGAGATGAAGAATTATCAGCCATTATGCATTTTTGAATAGGATTTCTTTCATCTTCATTTCACTTTTTTTTATTTACAGTAATAATATTATTAATAGTAATATTGTCTTTACATTTTTTTAAGTGACTCATTGTCAACCAATATTAACTTTTGACTAGGATTTCCATTTTTTTGTAAAATCATTTCACCCCAAGCAAGGCAATAAAACCATTAAGACACAAGGGGTTACTGAGTGTGAAAGAATATGAGAAAAAGAAAAAGCATTATTAAGGAGAAAGAACAATAAAAAAAAAAACAGGAATTAGAAAAACAGAAGATAATGACTGACATTGCTTTTAGATTTTTGAAGCTCAGAGTTGACTTTAAAGCAAGAAACTGGAAGAGATTTCCATAAGCAAGAAGAAACTGTCAGTATAGAACTTACAGTTGCATCAAGCCTTATCAATTGTAAAATGATGAGCACTTGTTGCAAATCTAGTACTGCATTTAAATTTATAAATTCTAGGTACCATAAAAAAGCTCATCCGAACAATTACCATGAAAGTATTTATAGTAAAAAGGTCAGCACCAAGAACATTGTAGATTCTTCTTTGGATTTTATCCCAAATCTCTATATAAATAGCAGAAGCACCAGACCAGATGTAGCAGCAATATTCAATGCACCTGGACGAATAGGTAGACTTATAAATATTTAAGATAGATTCTGTTGAGAAAAATAGTCTAGCATGACTCAGTGAATCAACTTTCCTAGCACCAGAACTAGCAGTTGATTCAATAACCTTTCCACTTTAGTCAGTGGGAAAAGTTACCCCAAGAAGGTCTGATAAGTCACCCTCCTGGAGGTTAGCATCAGCCATGCTGATGGAAGGCAAAAATTTAATAAATTCTTCTCTTATTTTATTCTTTTAGAGTAATTTGTTTAATGTTCTGTAATGAAATGTCTCTGCATATCAGAAAGTACTTAATTCTTTCAGATCCATTAACAAGGTGATAAAGCCACTAAGCTGCAAGGGTTACAGAGAGTGAAAGGAATTGAGAAAATGTTATTGAACAAAAAGGACAATAAAGGTACAGAATTATGACAAGGTATTGTTCGAACTGTATTCCTCATCTTTATTCATGATGTTTCGGCCGTTTACACTCTAGCCTTCTTCAGGATCTGTCTATGTATTTGAGATTAGGTATTGTAACTATTTATATTATTCGGACTATTGTCTTCATATTTATTGTTATATTCTGTCTATATTTCTGAGATGAAAGTATGAATAGAAAAGGCATAGGGAAGATATGCTATGATGATGAGAAAGTGACTGAAGTCATGATGCCAACGTAGGATGTACAGATACACAGCAGAAGTACCAGACCAGATATGGCAGGGATACTCAATACACAGGTGAATGGTAGCCTTATAAATATACAAGATAGATACATTCACATGAGAAAAACTGTCCTGCACGACATAGTGAGCCAACTTTCCTAGCAAGCAGACCTAGCAATTGATTTGATATAATTGTATTGTTACCTAACACATAGATCATGAAAAAACTTACTTTGAATTCAGAAGCATTCATCTGGTTCCATTGTCTTTTTTTCGCCATTGTGTAATCATCACCAAACACTCGTGTCTCGGTTGAAGCCACATCTTCAGAATCATAAATGCATTTAACCAATCTCCAGGTTTGATTATTTTCTGCCAATAAGTTTTCAGGTATTGATGTTGTCCAATCCCCTAAATAAAATGCATAATATATATATATATATATATATATATATATATATATATATATATATATAGCTAATATTAGTGGTAAATATACACATACTGTTTTCCTTTTGAATTTGTAGGTCTGATGAATTGGATTGTATTTACGATTCCAATGGAATAAATTATGACCATGGAATATTAATGTTTAAGCTATTATATATATATATATATATATATATATATATGAGACAAATATAAATTTTTTTATATAGCAAGAACAATGTTTGTGGGAAAAATGCATTACAAAATGGGAAAAAGTTTTTGTGTGATTCACCATTTAAGATTTCATTAGATTAAATTTATTATGCAGGTGTGACGACACAAAAAAAATTAAAATTTAAAATTCTCAGCATTCCTCATTCATATGCAGTTACATCAACATGGCAAATTTAGTTTGATAAAGTCCTAAAGACAATATGTGTCATATTAAAATAATTTTCCCTTTTCTCATAAATCTTTGCCCAATATATATCTATTTTTTATAATTGGCATCACACGAAGTAAGGCAGTAATGACGCTAAACCACAAGGTGATACAGGGTGTGTAAGAATTATGATCAGAAACAATAATGATGAGCAGAAAGAGAAGAGAGTAATCAGAAGGACAAGAGATAGCAATTTACACACAGATATATATATATATATATATATATATATATATATATATATATATATATACACATGATATAATGATATATAATTTTGTATAATTTTATATATCAACAAATATATATATATATATATATATATATATATATATATATATACACATATATATATACAAATATATATATACACACATGTATACATATATATATATATATATATACACACATACATGTATGAACATATATACACACACATACATATATACACATGTATATATACACATATATATATACAAACACATACATATATACACACACATACATACACACACACACACATATATATGTACACACATATATATATATATATATATATATATATATATATATATATATATATATATAAAAACATATTTGTGTTTGTTCAACATCCACAAAGCCCACCTGTGGTTTATACTGCAACTATGCTAAGTGCACCTTAATTACAGTTTCTGCGAGAGTGCATGTTATCTAGCATGATCAATAGTCAGAACAAGGTCAGCACGCTTAACCCTCAGACATGATGACTTGCGACATATAGATTTGTGAGATATATATCTATATATATAAAGGCATATTTGTGTTTGTTTAACATCTATAGAGCCCACCTGTGGTTTATACTGCAACTATGCTAAGTGTACCTTAATTACAGTTTCTGGTAGAGTGCATGTTATCTAGTATGATCAATAGTCTGAACAAGGCCAGCATGCTTAAACCCTTGGCCACGATGTCTTGTGACATATACACACACACACACACACACACACACACACACACACACACACACATATATATATATATATAAAAGTGAACATTGAAGTCAACACTTAGAGCTGACAGTCTGTTTCATGCAAGATGAATCATCAGGCCATGAGTGCTGGTATTTTTCTTGGCTATTTATATATACAGGTCAGTGGTGCATAGTGGGTACTCTATTTTGGCGGTTATTTTACTGGAAGTCATTTATTTATTTGGGTTAAATTATTTTGCTTGTCATTATTTATTTTTATTTTTTTATTTTTATTTTTATTGATGCATTGCGGGTCGTCTATTCTAATAGTTACTTTGGTGGGAGTGGTTTGTTAATTTGTTTATTATTTAATTTATTTGGATTAATTTATTTTACTTGTTTTTCCTTATGTTTATTTTTTTATTTCTATTTATTCTTTTCAGTTTTTGATTTTTGAATAATGTAGTAAAAATTTGTTTTTATGTCTGCATTTTGAGAGGCATTCTGATTATTTATTTCATAGTCTGTTTTGGTCTGGGAATGTGATTATAGCTGTTTTTTCCTCAAAGCAGAGTTTGCAGTTTTGGATTGATGGTTGGAGGCTAATCTTCTTTTCCTTATTTTCCATGATATTTTTGGTGTGATTTGCTTTGTTTTTAATTTTCCAGATATATTTAGAAAGCATTGTACTGTTTGTGTATTTAAATATAGGAGCAGCAAAATGGATGACTAACATTAAAGTGTTTATCTAATATTAAGTTTCTTCTAGTGTGTTAATAATGTGGAAAAATTATCAGTTCCCACAATAACAGTCTTCTAAAAAAATTTCATAGTAGTGAATTACAAGGGAATAAACCTACCTGTAATTATAGGGCTAAAACTGAATGTCTAGTAGAAGGAATGTGTATGCTAGAAAATGTGATATATGAAATGACTATCTTCCCCACAGAAGATATAAACCTGAAAAATGTTTATATTGGAATCACTGAGGGATGTTGGAAACAATGTCTATATGACCACTGGCATTCCTTCAACAACAAATACTTAAATTTCAAACAACACTATCTAAACATTATTGGGATCTTGTTGATAATAGCTTCACTCTGCAATTGGAATGGAGGATCATATCTAGGGTTTGAATTCCTAACAATTTCAGAGACAGATGTGATGTTTGTATTAAAGAGAAAATCATTACAATTAAACCTGGTAGAATTACTAAACCATCACAATGAACTTATCTTCAAATGCAGACAAAACATTGATTCAAAATCCCAAACAATATCTATCTTGAAGAAGCTTAGCCTTGAAAACTCTGATATGTGATATAACAGTAACATGCACTAATGAATGTGGTTACAATATTCTTGTATGATTTAATGTATATATTTGTGTGTGTGTGTGTATATATATATATATATATATATATATATATATATATATGTATATATGACTGTTCCTATGTGTGTATGTCTGTGAATATGTATGTATATGTATGTCTGTATGTTTTAGGCATATATATATATATATATATATATATATATATATATATATATATATATATTCTATGCCTGTGTGTATATATTTATGTACATATATACGTATGTATATGTTTCTATGTATGTAGGTGTGTATATTTGTGTATATAAACACGTGTATATATGTATGTTTGCTTATATATCTGTATGTGTATATATATATATATATATATATACACATATATGTGTGTGTATATGTGTATTAGCGTATATATATATATATATATATATATATGTATAGTATGTATTTGTCCTCTATAAGCTTCGAAATAGAAATGTGCAGTATTTATATTTGTATATATATATTTTTTTAGACATATGTAGATTTTTCTTCATAACATAGATTTTTTGTTTATTTTACCTTTTAATATCATCATTGTTATTATTATCTTTTTTTATTACATGTATTTCTATAAATAATTATTTCCTTTTAAATAATATCCATTTTATTTACTATAACCTATATAAAAAAAGAAATTTTTAATGGTAAAATAGAATATATTGTAAAAAATTCATTGCAGCGATTTTTCTCTAATAATATTATATATACATATATCTATATACATATATACATACATATATATATATGCATAAATATATAGACATATATACATATATATAGACATATATACATATATATATAGACATATATACATATATATATAAAATGTACACATATATATGCCTATATATAAATATACACACATATATATATATACTATATATAAATATACATATATATATACATATATACCTATATATAAATATACACACATATATATATATATATACATATATACATATATATATATATATACATACATATATATACATGTATATACATATGCATATATATTTATTATATATATATATATATATATATATATATATATATATATATTTTTATACATACATACATATTCATATATATATATATATATACATGTATATGCATATACATATATCTATATATGCACGTTTCATTAAAAACAACAGACAAGGTACTACGGTTAAGCTTTTTACTTAATTTTTCTTGTGTTCTGACAAGAGCTTTCTTTTCTGGACAAAGGATGTGTAAGAACTGTCCAAATGTTTTATATTTCCGAGTGCTTTTGGCTATACCTTTAGCCATTATCAAGAATGATTTGATTTTTCAGCTTAATTGAGTGTGTGCGTTCTGTGTATGTCTTAGTGTGTAGTAAGGATGCTTTTAATTTCCGAATACGGTTAGCACATTGTGGCTTTGTTCATAGTTAATATTGTTAAGAGTTGGCTTTTTCTTTTTTATTATTAAAGCTTCCATTATTTTTAGTCTTTTTTTGCAGGTGGATGCAGTTAATATATTTGTGTTTTCTACTAGTATGTTCCTAATGGAATCGGGTAAATCTGTGTGTGTGCTTAAATGGGTTCTAATGGAGCTGTGATCAGATAGGTGTAATGTAAGACGTCTGGATAAGCATGTGGTTGTGTAACCGATGTAATTATTTATGAGTCAGGTTTAGACTATTTCTCCCCAAAGTAAGTAATAATGATAGCGAAAACACAGCCAAAAATCACATACACATTTATTACCAAAACCAAATGCATATTAATTACAAACAAGACGAATCTTCTCTAAGGCATACTATAAAGAAATATACCACTCCAATTGATCCGAATAAAAAAATCAAATTTATTATCTATTATTAAAAATCTAAGACAGCCAACCTTATCCTCAAAAATAACAACACACCAACTAAGTCAAAATTACAAAAGAACGAACATTATCTATGAGTTCAAATGCCCCTTAAGGAACTGTGTTCCCCGATCAAACACACACACATATATATAGACATATATATAAACAGATTTATATATATACATATATATATAGACATATATATATATATATATATATATATATATATATATATGTATGTATGTATAGACAGATATATATGTATATATACATATAGACAGATATATATATATATATATATATATATATATATAGAGAGAGAGAGAGACAGACAGATATATATATATATATAAACATTGATCACTGTATTTCTAACACCTAAGTTAGAAATATATTTATACATATGTGTATAAAACACACATATTTATAAAAGAAACACATACACATATGTGTGATCGTGTATGTATTTGGGGTGCAAAAATGTTTTATATTAAAATTATATAAATGCATGTATATATATATATATATATATATATATATATATATATATATATATATATAGAGAGCAAATAATGTTTATAGTATTAAAATTATAATGACATTATATATATATATATATATATATATATATATATATATATATTTAGAGATGTAGATTTGATCTAAATAAAGAGATAAATGTAGATCTAAATAAATATATATATATATATATATATATATATATATATATATATATATATATATATATATATATATATATATGGGGGGGGCATTATGTTTTTATTGCATTTCAGATTTCAGGAGTTATTTCTTTTATTCCTACTCTGTATCCCAGCAGTGAAATTGTTTTTTGTCTGAAAATAAATCACAAAATTTTACTGTGCGTATTTTACAGGGCAAAGGATATTTGTGTTTCATTCTCATTAATTCTTTTCTCAAAGTTTTACAAATTGAAATCTGCCTGTTATCTTAAGACCAGATTATGCTCAATGTTGGGAAATAAAGTAATTTTTGTAGAATTTAGTCAAGAGATTTTGGTCAAATTATCTCATTTTTACAGATACTTACCTGTAACTTGTGTCTGCATTTGTCCTTTGTACAACGTTAAGTGAATCAGGATGTATTGAAAGAAGAAAGAGATTAATGGCTTGTTAAATATTCTTACAATCATATCTGTTGAAGACACTGCCAGTGTTGTTATGTTGGTGACGGATATAAAAATAAATTCAACTCTATTCAAGTAAAGCATGTTTCCTGTTGAGGTCAATGCAAACTGATCTTTTTATTTTATTTCTATTTTCTTTTTCTTTCATTTAATTTTCTCTGTGGGTTGGTCGTCTCTTCCAGGTGAACTTGCATGAGTTTGTGATTCAAGTTCATAAACTAGAAACACTTGGAGAAAGTTTAAGATATTAGCATTTTGGGGGTTGTCTCATTTTATAAACCGAGGTTAAGAATAAAAAATAATTAAAAAAGAATTTTTTTTCTTTTTTTTTTCAGTATCACCCCCATGCAAGGCAATAAAGCCACTAAGACACAATGGGTTACAGGGTATGAATGAATTAGGAACAGAAACATTAATAATGAGTGAGAAGAGTAAAGAGTAATCAGGAGGACAGTAGATAGTGATTGCATTTAGATTTTTGCAGATTAAAGTTGGCTGGAAAATATGGAGCTGGAAAGAAGTTCCACAAGTGAGAAGTGTGAGAAAAGAAACTGTTAGCATACAACTTGTGGTTACATCTAGCCAGCTCAACTTTAAATTGATGAGATCTTGACGCCAATCTAGTAATAAGCTTAAATGCAAAAAGTCTAGGTACTATGATGAAGAGCTCATCCAAACAATTGCCATGAAAGTATTTATAGAAAAGACTTGGAGAGGCAACCTTATAGTGACAGGAAAGTAACTGAATCCAAGCCACAACATCAGGACCAATAATATGGCTGATTCTTCTTTGGAATTTAGCAAGGAGCTCAAGATAAATATCAGGGGTACCAGACCATATGTGGTAGCAATATTCTAAACATTTGAAATATAATTTTTTTGAGATTAATTTTAAAATATTAAATTCAAAATAATTAAAAGTAATCATTTTAAAAATTATCAGAAATTAAAATTATATTTTTTTAATTATAAAAATGTAACAGCTACCATATTTAAACAATACATGATTAGCATAACATGACATTCGCTTTCACACAAATACCCTTGGAAAGACACAAATCTTCAGGCTAGGAGTAGATTGTTCTAGTTCAACATGCCATGCCTCTTCCAGATGTCTCTGATATTTCCCTTTAACTTAGCTCTCCATGATTTTGGGTTCACCACTGTTGTAGCCTGGTTTTGAACTCACAACTCTTTGGGTCTAGTCACTGGATCTAATCAACATCTTTATCCAGTGCACCATGTGTCCTTGATGAATTAGAACAATCTAGCCCGTGGATAAAATAAAGGGTTTGCTTTGAAATTCCAATCACCCGAATAGGGCCTGAGCATACAATGGTCAAAACATTGTGAATATGGCAATGAAGATGAGGATAACAGTCCGAATAATGTAAATAATAATACCTCATCTCAGAAAAATAGATGAGATAGAGATAAAAATCTATCTCCTTCTCGAGCTAGGGGTTAATAGTCAACTGGGATCTCTAACCTCAGGTGGCAAACAGACTATGACAGCTGTTAATTTTTTTTTTTTTCCCTCAAATGTACACTTCCCTGATCACTACGATCTTTAGTTCAAGTCTAGTATCAAATGTTATCTATCTTACCTATCCTCAAAATCTTTGCCTTGAGTGGCCCTTGTGCCTTGTATCTGGTGAACAACAGTCTTTCTTTAAATATATATATATATATATATATATATAACTCCTGAAATCTGAAATGCAACAAAAACATAGTGCCCCCCCCCATATATATATATGATTGGTTGTATCTCTTTATTTAGATCAAATCTACATTTCTCTCTCTCTCACTCTCTCTCTCTAAATATATATATATAATGTCATTCTCAAAGTTTTGAATATATCTGTGTATATATTGTACTCTATTCATTCTCATCTTACCTGGATATATATATATATATATATATATTATTAAATACATTTTTAAAAGTTTGTGTTAACGTTGCTTTTTTTTTTTTTTTTTTATAGATAAACAGTATTAAATAACAAGTGAATTTTTCAAGTAAATGTCCTTTGTTTATAACCTAAATCAGTCATTTTTAACATTTACCGGCCTGAATGCCCGAGAAATTTATAAACTTCAATCTTCCAGAAAATATTTGTCCTTTGACAGGATTTGAACCATTTTTATCCTTTTTTTATAGATACAAGTATTTAAGGAAATGCTCTGTTTATAATAAACATATATATATATTGTACTCCATTCTCATCATTTATATATATATGCTGTATATATATATATATATATATATATATGTAAAATAACGTGCCTTACCATCCCTCGGCCACAAAGGAGAGTTCGGTAGATACATATATAGGTATATATATATACATATATATATATATACATATGAATTTACTGCTTATAAATATATTCAATCTTCCATGAATTCATATATACATATATATATATGCATATATATACATTATATATATATACATAATATATATACATGTTACATATATATATATATATCAAAATATAAATACAAAATGACGCATATATTTAATAAATATATACATATATATATATACAAGGTATATACACCATATATATATATGATATATGCATAAATATATAAACATAAATTTATTAAAGACATTTTTATATGTTATAATATACATATATATTATTTATTAAATACATTTTTATGTTTAACGTTCTTTTTTTACATATAGATACAAGTATTTAAGTAAATGCTCTGTTTATAATAAATATATATATATATATTGTATATACATTATACTCATATATATATATATATATACATATATATACACATATATATATATATATATATATATATACATACTTGGATATATATATGTATGTATATATATATATATATATATATATATATATATATATATATATATATATATATATGTAAAATAGCTGTCCACTTGTAGTCAAGGATACCTGTCATACTAGATAGCAGCATATATATATATGTATATATATATATATAATCCCATATATATATATATATATATAGACATACATATATATATATATATATATATACATATATATATATATATATATATACATATATATATATATATATATATATATATATATATATATATATATATATATATATATATATATATATATATATATATATATACATATATATATATATATATATATATATATATATGCAAATATATACATACATATATATATAGTAATATATATATATATATATATACAATATATATATATACATATATATATATATACATATAGGAAATATTTAGTATTTATTGACTGAGCAGCTTGTACGTCTGTCAGTTCAAATTTATAAAATTTTCCTCTGGAAATCATTTTTCAGGAAAATAAATTGATAGTAGTAGCTGTTATTGCTTTTTCCAGTATTGACAGAGGGGTTTCCAGTTTAAAGTAGTGTGCAATGTCAACATCTTGATTATGTCATTATTTTCTCTTTGAGTTAGATTGTAATATCCATTTTCTTTGTTGCTGCTGTTGAAAGTCCTTAAATGATGCAGTTTCTGTTATTTGGTATTGAACTTTGTGATTGTGTAGCACCTAAAGTTTCACTTAATGTATTCAAAATGTACAAATTTATCCCAAAATTCATTATTTATATATATATATATATATATATATATATATATATAATCAAAATTATATATATATATATAAGATGATTATACATGTATACATAGATATATAAGCTTACAAAATTTGTAGGTGGGACATGACAGAAAAGATAAAATGTTGGTTCATATCACTGTATCTAAAACAACCATTTTCATCGATGTACAAAAGAAGCAAACATAGTTGCATGTGGAGGAGTTCAAAAGCTGTACTGACTCACCTCTGATATCTATCTATATGTCTATCTATCTATCTCTGTTCCTTATCTATCTATCTATGTCAGTCTATTCCTTATCTATCTATGTCAGTCTGTTCCTTATCTATCTATCTATCTATCTATCTCAGTCTGTTCCTTATCTATCTATCTATCTATCTCAGTCTGTTCCTTATCTATTTATCTATCTATCTCAGTCTGTTCCTTATCTATCTATCTATCTATCTCAGTCTGTTCCTTATCTATCTATCTATCTATCTATCTATCTCAGTCTGTTCCTTATCTATCTATCTATCTATCTATCTATCTATCTCAGTCTGTTCCTTATCTATCTATCTATCTATCTATCTATCTCAGTCTGTTCCTTATCTATCTATCTATCTATCTATCTCAGTCTGTTCCTTATCTATCTATCTATCTCAGTCTGTTCCTTATCTATCTATCTATCTCAGTCTGTTCCTTATCTATCTATCTATCTATCTCAGTCTGTTCCTTATCTATCTATCTATCTATCTCATCTATTCTATCTATCATCTATCTATCTCAGTCTGTTCCTTATCTATCTATCTATCTATCTATCTCAGTCTGTTCCTTATCTATCTATCTATCTATCTATCTCAGTCTGTTCCTTATCTATCTATCTATCTATCTATCTATCTGTTCCTTATCTATCTATCTATCTATCTATCTATCTCAGTCTCCTTTATCTATCTATCTATCTATCTATCTCAGTCTGTTCCTTATCTATCTATCTATCTATCTATCTATCTCATCTATTCTCATCTATCTGTTCTATCTATCTATCAGTATTCCTATCTATCTATCTATCTATCTATCTCAGTCTGTTCCTTATCTATCTATCTATCTATCTATAATGAGCAACCACAAGTTTTCTATTGGATTAATATCTGATGAGGCTGGGGTCACATTACTTGCAGCAGTTTTTATTGCTTCCCAGAGATCTTCTTTGCTTTGATATTGTTTTCCATACTCATAGGCATCTCTTTTAATGACGGATCACAAGTTTTCTATTTGATTAATATCTGGTGAGGCTGGGGTCACATTACTTGCAGCAGTTTTTATTGCTTCCCAGAGATCTTCTTTGCTTTGATATTGTTTTCCATTCTCATAGGCATCATATGAAAATGGATTTATTCTTAAAAGAATGTATAATGGGAACACTTAGAAGAGAGTTTTATTTTCCCTCTTATATTTCTCCCATTATGGGCATTATTATATCGATGATATAATAACACTGATATTTCACAGACAGAACAGAATGTCTGAAAGAAAAAAGAATGACAAACATGATTTGTTCTCTGAGAGACTTTTATAATACTAAGATATACACAAAACCATGTATGTACATATATATATATATATATATATATATATATATATATATATAAATAGTGAACATTGAAGTCAACACTCAGAGGCAACAGACTGTTTCATGCTGGATGCAAGTGGCCTGATGATTGCATCTAGCATGAAACAGCCTGTCGCCTCTAAGTATTGACTTCAATGTTCACTTTTATATTTACATATGCTCTATCTCTGATATTGAGCACTTTATCCCATAAATATAGCAGTATGGGATAATTGTCCATCCCATAAAATGTTTAATATCTAAAAACCCACTAAACTAATTGAATTTCTTTTTTTACAGGTTTTCAAATAAGACGTTTACCCATCTTGACACCATTTGTGGTAAGAATCACTAAAAAACACTTTGAGTTATTCAGCTAGAAATAGAATAGCTTAAAATCATTTTGTATCAGCTACACTATATCTTCCCAACTGAGCAATGGTGTGAGGTAAAGATTATTCATGCCTTCAGTAATGGTACCAACATTCATACTCTGGCTTTCATCTTCAAAGTCCTTTCAAGAACCACAAAAAAAAAACGGTGAATAAGTTTAAAAAAGAGAGCCCAGCAGAGAGGGTCAGGAAGTCACAACAGCAAGAACGATCATTATTTTAACCATGTTTGATGGATGTCAGTTATAAGTTATCTCCTGTTAATTTCTCTCTGAAAGTTCTCCACTGCCTTAACTGGGTATTGAACTCACACTCTTTGGGTCTTGTCACTGGATCTAACCAATGCCTTTATCCACTGTGTCATGTGTCCTTGAAATAAAGGGTTCAGTTCGACATTCCAACCACCTGAAGAAGGCCGGAGCGTACAACGGCCGAAACGTTGTGATAAATATGGTGACAAAGATGAGGACAATAGTCCAAATAATGTAAATAAATAAATAGTGTTTAACATTTTTGCTGTCAATTCTTAGCAAAAAAGAAAGTGTCTAAATCCCTTTGTAAGGATACAGAAGACATATATCTCCCTTTGATGGGGATAAGTCACATGACAGCTGCTTAATGACATCACTCCAGTCATCTACTAGATGAAAATATTGATCTAGTAGATCATAGTTTTTATAATGGCTTGTGGATCATTTATATATGGTGAACTAGTCAAATTATGACTATTCGCATCAACTAAAATGTTGAAGAAAGGGATTCTATTATTATTAAGTTCATTTTGTGGAATACATCTGTTTGATGATCTGGCACAAATCATCAGTGGTGTTTTTAGTCGAGGATTATTAGGGGTTTAAGGGTCTTACAACATCATATCTCCTCTCGATGGTGGCCCAGCTGATACTGATTGGTGTGTGCTACAGCCATCAGCTACAATTATTCTCATAATGTAATTCTCTCATAAACCCCTGTGTGTCCTCAGGCCTTTGTATTCTAATCATAAGCAACTTCTGGTTCACCATTTTCTATTTTTCATAAGAAAAATAGGGAGCAAATGCAATGACCGTTTCTTTTGCAAATATGGCAACACTCTTCAAATGTTAAGTAACAATCTTCTATTTCACTTCCTGACATAAAATAAAAAAAAACAATTTATGGGCACTAACCAATGATAAATTTATTCTCTTATCCTATCTTTCAACTCATTCATCCTAATTACTCAATCAACACTAAAAAAAACATTTGTCTTTTAACTGGGAAAAAAAGTGTAACCCTGCTGAGAGGGCAAGCAAATGCTAGATCTTAGCCAAAGATCACTAGGAGGTAACAATTTTTTTGGATATTCCTGTACAACATTAGTCTTGTCTAGGGGGTTGGAAGTTTGGAATATATTATTTTTAATAACTAGTTTGCTAGTTTTTAAATTTTTGTAGTAAATAATGAATTTGCTGATGTATTTGTTCTAATAAACTTTTATGTATTGAAAGATACATGATTGTCTAAGGGTGTATCATGCATAGCACATAACTGATACGAGTTGGAAGTTTGGGATATATTATTTTTAATAATTAGGTTGCTAGTTGTGGATTTTTCATAGTAAATAATGAATCTGATGTATTTGTTTTTAATGACTGAACAGATTTTATATATCTATGTATGATGTTTTTTATTGCAATTTTGTCATTTTTGGTAATTGTGATTCATTTAATTTTGGTAATTTATGTTAATAGCATTATTGTCAATATTATGTTTATGACATTAGCTCTTATTAAAATTGTTGTTTAAATGAAATTTGATTTGCTTGTTGACTATGTAATTAGGGGACCCTTTATTGATAAAGATTTGTTTTATATTATTTAATTCTTTAAGGAAAATTATTTTGCATGAGGAAATGTGTTTAGCTCTTTGGATTAAATTATTAATGATGGCAGTTTTATATTTTTTTAGGGTATTCACTGTTGTAATTTAGAAAGCAAGTGTTAGAACTAGCAGACTTTTCTGATGGTACTCTGGTTTGATAGGTTGCAAGTGAGTCTCTGTGGAAGTGTGGTTGTGGTGTATGCTATGTAAGATGTCTTGTGTTTTTTTCTTTTTTTACAGAGAAATATTCTCTGAGTGGGTAATATGCTCATATACAACATTAGTCTTGTATAGGGGGGGAGATTGGGATATATTACTATTATTATTATAAATGATAGCAGTTTTATATTTTTCAGTTTTTTTATATTTTCACTGTTCTAGTTTAGAAGGCAAGAGTTAGAAATAGACTTTTTATGTGGAAATGTGATGAACTCATTGCTGTTATTATATTTGAGAATATCTCGCAATATTTAGTGCATGTTGAACTTTAAAATGGAATTGTTCTGTAATGTAATGCTTATTAATGTGTAGTCTGATGGTACTCTGGTTTGATAGGTTGCAGATGAGTCTTTGTGATAGTGTGGTTGTGGTGTATCCTATGTAAGATGCCTTTGCTTTTTTTGCTTTTTTTTTTACACAGAAACATTCTCTGAGTAAGCAAGTATGTTCATATACAACATTGGTCTTGTATAGGGGGCTTGAATTGAGGAATTGGAGAGCGAAGTTCGAATTCCAGTCAAATCCATTACATTCACTTACATGCTAATACCCTTAGGAAAGGTATGAATCCCCTTCTTCTCCCTTCAGCTATGGGTTAAATAGCAGGACAGACTGAGTTCTATAAACTTGGATGGCAACTGGTCTACCACAGAAAGAAATGGCAACCCATTGCAGGAAAAAATCTGCTACGTCAGTCATGTATCGAAAGATACATGATCGTCTAAGTGTTTATCATGCATGGCACATAACTGATAGGGGGTTGGAAGTTTGGGATATATTATTTTTAATAATTAGGTTGTTAGTTGTGGATTTTTTGTAGTAAATAATGAATCTGAATTTGCATGAGGAAATGAGTTTAGCTCTTTGGATTAAATTATTAATGACAGCATTTTTATATTTTTCAGAGCATTCACTGTGTAGGCAAGAGTTTTGTATGAAAATGTGGTAAAATTATTGCTGTTATAATCAATGAGAATATCTATAAAGGGATTTTTTTTATCAATGTTTAGTTCATAAGTGAAATTTAAAATGGAATTTTTTCAAAATTTTTTTAAAGTTCTATGATGTCATTGACAGATTTGGTTTGCATGAAAATGCTTCAATATATCTGGCATAAATGGTAAATTTTATTTTTTCTAAGTTGGCCATAGAAAAGTTTGAAAATAATGAACCAAGAGGGTGGCCCATAGCGATGATGTGGGTTTAGGTATAAATATTACTAAGATATGTTTAGTGGTACGAAACTTTATAACTGCCATAAACAGACAAAAATTAATTTTATTATTACCACTCATGATGATAATAAAAAGTAAAAATGAAAAATGGGCTAGTTATCCGGTTTTGAACCTCGCTCAACAGAGCTAAATTGAAGTTAATAAAGTAAATTATTTAAAAAGAAAAATGGACAAAGTGTATTGGGAGAAAAAAAAATTAGATGAAATTACCTAAAAGTGTTGGAAGCCATCTATATTCTATCATTGAGGCCTTCTCTATGTAAACAGAAGAACTTCGTATTAGGCCTCCAACTAATTACCACCTATTTTTTTTTTCCCCTCAATACATTTGTCCATTTTTCTTTTTAATTAATTTACTTTATTAAACTCGATTTAGCTCTGAAACAGGAAAAGAACAGAGCGGGTTTGTTAAAGACACGGGAACAAGTAATGTGATAATTATGCTTAGAATTATATTAGAAAGAGTAAGACAAATGCAAAAGGATGTCATTGGGTCATTGAAATAATAAAAAATAACCCTGCCACTACAAGTAATTAATGAGTCACTCTCCTGGAGTTTAGCATCAGCTATAATGATTTAATGTGAAAAAGGTTCTATAAGAAGATTAAAAGAGAGCTGTTTCGTTTTTGGGGTGTTAAAATGAACAATTATTAAATCTGCTTTCTGAGCTGTGTATAATGTTCAATCTCCAATTGAACTGATAAAAGTGCACTGATAAAAAATTATTTTATTCAATAAGCTAAGGATATATATACAACAATGGTGATATACTGGAAGGCCCAAGTAGATCCATTTCCATATTGCTTCTTAAGAAGCCAGTTGCAACTCTGAAATACACAAATTCTGATGAACAGAATGTGCAGTAGAATTAAACTAGAAACAGGAAAAGAACAGTATGGTTCTGTTAAAGACACAGGAACAAGTAATGTGTTATTTATGTTTTGAATTATATCAGTGTTATATTCTGTGCTAATAGGAATATGTACTTGAACAACATGGTGGATAAAATAAATAAATGTTTATTATAAAAAACCAGTACAATAAGAATAAAGGTAACAGTTATGCACAAGGTTGTCGCAAGTCAATCCAGTAGTGAGTGCTACTTTTTGAAAGGTCGGTAGTTCTTGCATAAGTCTGAGTTGTACTTAACATATCCCAGCTAGAATATTTAGCCCCCCCCCCATGAGGGTTTCATGTAGCACAAGGCCGGGTTTAATGTGGGTTTCTCCGAGCCTGTATGCTCGGCCAAAAATATTCCCTTTCGAACCCGTATAAATGGGTTCAGGAGCAGTCTACCTCCCTGAATAAGACCCTGCCCTTCGGTGGAGCCTTGTTCAGGTTCCTCTCAGTCTGAAGGCAGAGAGCTCAACTGCTTAGCTGGAACAAATCCCAGCTAGACTCTGTAGTCTATTGCTTACAGATACTTATAGGTAGTTACTACCTATAGTGTAGTCACTCATGGGGGTGACAGGTTATTCCATTACATCAGTCAAAAAGAGTAATACAAATGCTAAAGAATGTTTACCTATCTTTTATAGATTATGCAAATGCATTTGATAAAGTACGTCACAAACAACTGCTAGGTAAGCTTCCTATATTTGGGAAGGATATAAGAATAGTTCAGAACTGAGAGCAAACCACCAACATGCAGATAATAAGTGGATTATGTAAATATACAACAATAGAAAGCAGGTGTAAGACAAGAAGATAACTTCTCACCAGACTTTACACTGAGGCAATCCTGAGAGAATAAGAAATCCTACCAGGATTCATTATTGGTGGCCACAATCTTAACATTAGATATGCAGATATATATATTTTTCCTTTTCTCCGTATATATTTTCTCCTTTTCCCACTCCCTTCGTAAGAGAGCTTCTTGATTTTGTCCAATGGGCAGAATACAGTGGCCTCTCTCCTTCTTGTGGGTTGGACGGGCCCTACTAATGTCAGTTATGTTTAGTTCATTTTGTGTTCATGTTTAGTTTGTTATTGGGTTCATCTCTCTTCCCTCTCATTTTTCATCTTTAGATTTTTACATATAGTTTATTATCATTAAATTTTTATGGCATGGGGTGTGTTTCGTAGATTCCCGTTGAGAGGATGTGGTATTATGGTGTATGGAGGATTGATTGGTGATGGACAAGTTTTTATGGTGAATGGGCAAATTGTAATGAGTGAATGGGTCGTGAATCAGATTAGTTAGGTATAAGATAGTTAGTGAAGGCCAGCCTCAACCCCTCCCTTTTTTCGGCCTTGTGCCGTAATTGTATTTTTATGCAATAAATATCCTTTAGATTTGCAAATAACATAGTGTTGATAGCAGACATAGAAAGGAAACTATAGGACCTTGTACAGAAGTTAGTTATAATCCAGAATGATGATTTTGTCATTCTAAAAATAACCTTGCCATCAGTGATGATAGAAAATAATGATATTTCATCCTCCTTGAAATAAAGATAAAAAACTTCATCATCCTAAAAAGCAACCTTGCCACCACTGATGAAAGATGAAAAAGATATTTCATCATTCTAAAATCTGATTATAAAAACAACCCTTCTGTCATGAGTGATGGCAGTCAGTAGAGTAGAATAGAATAGTCACTGGCAGTAGCAGTAGTAAAAAGACCCAATGCATATGTATCCTCATCCCAACATGAAAATCAAAAAATGATGATTTAGAATGACATTCTCACCAATGAAATTCAGTAAATTTTCATTTTAACACCCGAGCGTCATTTACTGCTGAACTATTTTCTTTCAGAAATTAGTTTCCATAAAGCGATTTTTTTGTACTTAATGTAAGAATAATGTTAACTTTCAAATATATGTAAACATCGACAAATAAAAGAATAACAAAAGAAAAAAAAAACACCTAACCCTAATTTGAAAGTTAACTTTCTTCTTTAAAAAAAATAAAAGAATAACAAAAAAACAAACAAACACCTAACCCTAATTTGAAAGTTAACTACAAGGAATTACTGTGAAGGGAGTAAATAGGCCCAAATTGTATACGTCCACCGACATAATTCAGCACCTAATTACTTATCAATAAGCCGGTAAGGGATGACAAAAAGTGCGAGAAGAAGCTTGATGTTTTTCTGGTCGTTAACATCCAAAAAGTTAGTTTTCTTTACTATCTAATTGTTGATTTGAGTTCAGCATATACATTTGCACAGAAATAAGACTATTTTGGAAAAATTTGAAGGGATAATAGCACGCGGGTGTTGAAATGAAAATTTACCTGAAATTCTTGGAACAAACAAAAACAAGTAAGCACAAACCTTTAAAGAAACAAAAGAGAGAGTAACAAAGAGAACATTTTTAACACAAACCATACCAATATCAGTAATTCACACCATGAAAAAGAAAAATACACATTCTTGTTATTAATGTCAACACGTGCCTTGTGTCTTTTTGTGTTATGTTATTGCTGTACGTAATATTAATTTTGTTTCCAGTATAAAAAAAGTAAAAATGATTCCTCTATCAACTACTACTACAAATACATATAATAACGGGGTAACTTACATTAACAACTACACATCAACCCCATTACATAGTAAAGGAAAATGTGAAGAAAGGACTAATTGTAAGAAGGCGGAATGCATGGTTGTTGGCAAAAGAAACAGTGCAAGATGCGAACCATGAATTGACGATACCAAAACGAAGCAAGAACAAAAATTTAAATATCTCAGAATTGATTTAACAGAGGACATAAAATGCAACACTGAAATCTGAATGTGCATTAGAATAACAAAAATGGCCTTCCAAAAGCTAAGCAAAGTATTAAGAAAAAGGAAAAATTCATTAGAAACAAAGAAAAGAGTGCTGAACTGTTATTTAATATAGGTCTTCTTTTATAGCAATGAAGAAGAGACTTGATGCAACAGAAATGTGGTTCTGTAAAAAGAATTTAAAGGAAAGTAGAAATAAAAAGAAGGCTTGGGGAATATGACATTCACAGGACATATTGAAGGCAAGAGGGATGGGGGGGGGAAGCAGTGCAGGGATTAGGCGAGATAGCAAGAAGACAAATCTTACAAACAAATATAAAGGACAGAAAGTTGTGGAGAGCCATGATTGCCCATGTCCTGAAGGGACATGGTAAAAAGATTGAAGAGAAGGAAATATTTATAAGGAAAATGGAAACAGAAAGGTCACTGTACATAGAATCAGAAAAAGATGGTTGAAATATTTGGGGTGCGAAATGAAAGAAAGGGCTATCAGTCTCATTCTGTTTATATTTATATGTCTATCTATTTCAGTCTATTCATATCTATCTAAGTCTGTGCATGTCTAGCTAAGTTTATTCATATCTAAGTCTATTAACATCTATCTCAGTCTGTTCGTAACTATCTCAGTTTGTTCATTACCTATCTATCTATTTATCTATCTCAGGTCTGTTCATTATTTGTCTATATAGAAATTTTAAGTATGTTCATTATCTATCTCAGCCTATTTATATCTATGTATCTATCTCAGCTTGTTCATATCTATCTCACTCTATTCATATCTCTCTATCAACCTATCTATTTCAGCCTGTTCATATCTATCTCACTATTCATATATATCTAATTCAGCCTGTTCATATCTATCTCACTATTCATATCTATCTATTTCAGCCTGTTCATATCTATCTCACTATTCATATCTATCTAATTCAGCCTGTTCATATCTATCTATTTATCTATCTATCTATCTATCTATCTATCAGCCTGTTCATATTTATCCAAGTCTATTCATATCCATCTATCTATCCATCTCTGTTCATTATCTATCTATCCATCTATCTCAGTTTGTTCATTACCTATCTCACATCTATTTCTAGTTATTCATTATCTATCTATTTCAGTATGTTCATTATCTATCTATCTCAGTCTATTCATATCTATCTATCTATCTATCTATCTATCTCAGTTTATTGATATCTCTCTATCAGCTTGTCATAGGTAATTTCTGTTTTGAGGAAAGAAATTATAATGTTGAGTATATCTTTAACCATTCCTTAAATATTTCAGAACAGCTAGTGTTTAGGACACATAATGAAGACAGAGGACTTGGAGAATTTGACACTCACAAGACATACTGGAAGCAAGCTTGCGTAAATGGATAGCAGAAGACATTAAGATGACAAACACTGCTTAGATCCCAAAAGGATAGGAAGTTGTAGAGAGCCATCTTTACCCATGTTTTGAAGAGACATGGCATATAAAAGAACAAGGAAGAGGATATATTGGTTTATGTATGTATATATATATATATATATATGCATGTATGTATGTATATATGTATATATATATGCAAGTACATGTTTGTGCGAGTGACAGTGCAAGTGTATGCATGAATTGGTTGGTCGGTCGATTGATGAATTTTGCAGCATACAACACTTGCGGGCTTATTTAATGTTGAATTTTGTACGGGTCACACAGTGAGAAGCAAATTCATTATCAGTCTAACCTCAGATTACCCATTACCCATGCTATGGCGCCTTGTGTGTCTGATGATGCAGAGACTTGTATATTATACAAATAAATGCTTTGTAACAATTTACATTCACAGGTAGCAAAGATCAAACATGTCTAACAGCTTACAAGAAGAAATATGTCCTCGCTCGACAATGTTCATAGCAACTGAAGAATCTGAATACTTTTCTTTTCTTTTTTTTTTCGCAAAAAGGATGTCGCTAATTTCTCAAATTCAAATCTCACTGGCTACAACTATTGCAACTTTGCAAACAATACCCCACCCCAGATAGTGTATATTTTCTGACAAGGAACAGAAAGATTTCTTTTTTAATGAACTTGTTTGCCGACAAACTAGAACCTTCATTTGATTTGATATTTTTTGACAAAAATTACAGATGGGGTTGGATGAGGTCAGAAGTCAGTAAATTCCTTGGTTTTCATGAGTTAAAAAGTGAGATAAATATTAGAAGAAAACAATCTTGTCCACTTTAATCATGTCTGTCTGTTTATCTATCTAGTAAAGTTGATAAATCGCACGTTCTATTTGTATCAATATCATTCTGTTTAAATCCTATCCATTCATAGCTATCAATTTATCTCAGTCTATTCTGATCTATTTTCTTTATCTATCTTCGTTAGTTCATATCTATCAAACAATATAAGTTTTTTCATATCTCAACCTATTCATATATCTATTTTCTTTATCTGTATATATTTTCTTTATTTATTTAACAATCTATGTGTCTTCTCTTTATCTCTCTCTCTCTCTATATATATATATATATTTGAAAACAGACTCAGTCTTCCTGGCGAACATCAACTCTGCAGGCAACATTTCAGACACGGTGTTTGAGTTTGGTGTTATTCTCTAAACATTCAGAAATTGCTGAATCATTCCTTCATCTGATTCCTCTCCCTCTGACATTTTAATGCCCTTTTAAACATATTGACAACTGTTTTGTTTGTCTGTTTGATCTTGAGTAATATGATTTACAAAAAAGCTTAAATTCAATTGATGTGATTTGAGTCTCGTTATCTGAATTGATTGAGTCAGGAAGACAGAACTTTGCAAAAATCTTGTGTAGGAAATTTATTGTGTTATTTAATATTTCTGGCCATTTAGTGTAACTATCGACTACCACTAGATATAGTATGCTCTGTTTAACAGTCCTACGAAGTCTGTATGTATTCTGGACCATGGCATATTGGTTTTCGTCCAAGGTTGAATTTTGACAGGCTGTGACTTTGCTGTCAGAGCACAACCTCTGCATGATTCCACTAAATTTTCGATATTTTGATCCATTTTTGGCCAGTAAGTATAACACCTCATTAAGGATTTCATTCTAGAAATTCCTGGATGTTCTCTGTGAAATTCTTTTAACATACGTCTTTGCAACAATGCTGGTATCAACACTCTCTCTGTGTACATATGTACATCATTACATAATGAAAATGCATCATTTCAAATAATATAATTTCGTTTAGATCTTAATTGCTTCTTCATTTTCATTATAAAATCGTCTTTTTCTGTCTTAATTTTTATTTCCTCCAATTTAATGAGCAGTTTTCTTACAGTATTGTATAATATGTTATTAATTTCATTTTCTGGCCCTTATTGCTGCAATTACTGTGTCTTCAAGTGGTTCACAGAATCTTGGTATTGGTCTAGACAATCTGTTTGCATGACATTTTATAATAATAATTCAATAGAATAGTTCTCCAGTGCTGCAGTCTATTTGCTGTATTTGTGGGAACGATGGTCTGTCTGTAGTATGAATTTTCTACCATATATAAATTTGTGAAACTTTTTCATGGCAAATATGATGGCCAATGCTTCCTTTTCTATCTGGCTCTAGCTTTTTTCAGCTGCAATTAATGATCTTGAAACATGAGCTATTGGTTTAGTTGTTCCGGCCTCATATTTGGTGTAGTATCACTGCTCCAATACCCAAATCACTTGCATCTGATGCAACCACATTCTTTAATTCCGGGTCAAGCTGAGCTAGTGACATATCCAATGTTAAGACTTTCTTGATCTCTTCAAAAGCATTTTGATGTTTATCTGTCCAATTCCATTTCATATCTTTCTTCAGCAACTTATTCAAGGATGCTCTTAATTCATGCATATTAGGTATATATGTATGATAGTAGTTAGCAAACCCTAAAAAGTCTTGTAACTTTCTTACATTTGTTGGAATGGGCATGTCCTTTATCACACTTGCCCTTGAAGGATCCAGTCATCTAGCATTTTCATCGAAAATTTATCTTAGATATTTAAGTCTGGACATAAACAATTCACATTTTGCTTCACTAATCTTAAAACTATATTCTTTAATTCTTTCAGATACTTTCTTTACATCTTCTGCATGTTGCTTTTGGATCTTACGTTTAAGTACAACATCTAAATATTCTTGAGCACAATCCAAACCGTCATGCACGGTATTCTTCATTTGTTGGCATATGCTTGTTGCTACCTTCATACCAAAAGGAAGTCAGTTGAATTTTTATAACCCTCTATGAGTGTTAATTTTTAATAATTTTGAGCAGTCTTTGTCCATTGGTATTTGTAGGTAAGCATCTGACAGGTTCAATTTAGAAAAAAAATTACCTCCATTCAATTTGGCAAAAATTTCCATTGGATTTGGTAATGGTTAGTTATGTTGTTTTAAACTTTCATTTAACCCCATTGAAAAATCAGCACATACCAGGATTATTCTTTTTTTTTTTAACGTAGACTTTTGGTGATGCCCATTTGGAATAGTCTATTTTTGATATCACACCTAATTTTTATAGTCCATCCAATTGGATCTAAGGCCACAAAAGGTACAATCTTTTTGGCTTAAATGTCGGTGTTACATTATCTTTTAACTCAAACTTAGCTTTTGCTTTCATGCATCTCCCTAGACCTTCTGAGAAAACTTCTTGAAAACTCTTTTTTCATTTTTCAATTTTTAAGTTGCCATATTAGTACCGGGGGTAGCAATATTTATCTTGTTTCAAAAAGAGTTAATTGGAAGGTCCCAAAGATCAAACATTGCAATCCAGTCTGTTCCAAACAAATTAGCAGTATTCTTTAATACGAACACCACTGATTTTTTGGTTTTTACCACAAAAGAAATGTTACAGCTGAATTCACCCCAAAAGTTCAATCTCTTTCCTGAGACTCCAGGTGCAGCTTTATCAAAGTCAATAAACTGGGTTTACCCATTTTTCTAGATGTCTGTTCATTTATGATAGTGATATCAGATCCTGTATTTAGTTGCAATTTTATTTTTACATCATTATTTTGCACAAAAACAAATTTCCTCTTTTGAGATGTTTTGCTAATTTCCCTTTTAGGCTTCTTATCGTTACTACATGTATTTATCATATTCACATAAACTTAATTTTTTCTCCATTTTTTTGTATCTGCAACACATACTTTTGTGTCCTAATCTCCCACTTTCATAACATTTTTGTTCTTGAAGAAACATTCACTTTTAAAATGCTTACCTCCACAACCGTGGCAAGTATTAAGTATTGAGGGGAAGGTTTATAATCTGTTTTTCCTGTTCTGTTAGGAGTTAAAAAACGTTTGTAGTTTTTTCTCTTAGATGGTTGGACAGTATATACTTGTGAATTGTCTTTTTCTTCAATCACTGCTGTATTGAGTTTTAAATTCACAATATGTTGACACTCTTCCACTATTTTCTGGAGAGTTAATTTGGGGGATCTAATTTAGTAAGTATCCTGGATCTTATTTCCATGTCCTTATTAGAAGTTAAACCCTTTATGAATATCAGGCATTTAAATAAATCAGGAGTTAATTCATTTAACTTGAACTTTTCACATTCTCGATTCCTGTATAAGTGACAAAATATTCATCATCAGACTTTACTAAGTCATTGTCATCGTGTATTAAATAATGAACTCCTATCACCAAAAATTTTAGATAGTATTAGAAGAGTCTCACCAAAATTTATCTCTCCTGGTTTTTCTGGCAAAATATAATTTATATATTTTTCATGTTCAGTAGGGGACAATTTTCTTAATACCAAACTTTCATCATTCCACAGTGGATAAAGGCGTTGGTTAGATCCAGTGACAGGACCCAAAGAATGTGAGTTCAATACCCAGTTAAGGCAGTGGAGAACTTTCAGAGGGAAATTAACAGGAGATAACTGATAACTAACATCCATTAAACATGGCACGTGGAACTAGAACAGTCTACTCCAGTAAGCGAAATAAAGGGTTAAGTTCGACATTCCAACCACCTGAAGAAGGCTGGAGTGTACAACAGCCGAAACGTTGTAATAAATATGGCGACAAAGATGAGGACAATAGTCTGAATAATGTAAATAATGTACACAATACCTCATCTCAGAAATATAGACAGATATATATATATATATATATATATATAGCTGGCCACTTGTATTTGAAGATACCCATCTGTGTTTGCTCAGGCACATTTGTGTTTA